GTGGGGTGAGGGTGGGTGGCGGCTGCTCCAGGGGCTCGTAGCCCCCACGACCAGGGGTAGCCTTGGGAACAGCAGGACCCCATGCATAGGGGTGGGGGGCTGTGGGGACAGGGGTCTCCCACCCTCCTCCTGCTGCCCATCTCTCTGCAGTTCCGGCTCCAAAACCATGACACACCGCTCACGCTCACCCGCCGCGGCCTGGTGCTTGCACCTGCAGATGGCTTCAACCCCAGCAAGGACACCCAGGTGGGCAGCATTGTCCCCGGGCTGTCACAGCCACCTTTCACCCTGCCTGGGCTTAGCCCCTCGCTGGCACTGCCCACAGCTCTGCGCATCCTGCTCCTCCTGTCAGGCACCCAGCTCCACCCCAGCTCTAGAAGTGCTCTAGCCCTGTCCCTGTCCTCAGCTCCATCCCTTTCTGCATCTCGACTTCTGTTTAAATCCTCATTCCTGTCCCTATTCCCCACCCCATTCCAGTCTCCAGCTGATCCTCATCTCCATCTCCACCCTTATTCCCACCCCTGTTCCTGCTGCAAGCCCTGTTCTCATCCCTAACCCTTTCCTGTCTCTGTCCCCATCCCGTCCCTATTCCCGTCCCTGTCCCTATTACTATCTTCATCTCTGTCTCTGTCACCACCTCTATTCCCATCCCTGTCACTGGTGCCACTTGGGGCTGTCCCGTGGCCTCCCTGGCTCTGCCCCACAGACATTCAGGCTGGAGATCGAGGTGACAGACCGCCACGGGCACAACTGCAGCGGGGCCTTGAGGGTGGAGGTGCTGCCATCACGCCGTCCCCGTGTCACCTTCCTGTGAGTGGGGCTGGGCTGGGCAAGGGGTGCTGGTGGCATCAGGCCATGCCACACTGATTGCCTTGCCTGCAGTGAGCCACAGCTGGCTGTGACAGTGCCAGAGAGCACCAGACCCTTGGAGGTGGTCACACAGGTCCAGGCCACTGGGGAAAATGTGCACTATGCAATCCTCGCTCCTGTGGCACCTGCGCTTTTCACCATTGATGAGTGTGAGTGGGGTGGCAGGGGTCCCCAGGACTACCCTGTCCCCAGGCCTGGCAGGAGGCTGTGCCTTCTCCTGCAGTGACAGGTGAGATCCGCAGCACCCGCCGGCTGGAGGTGGCCCATGCACTCCTCCGTGTCCGCGCTTACAACGCGCTGCGCCCCGCTGACCACGCCACCGCCACCGTCAATGTCACCGTGCGGGGGACAGACCAGTGGGCACCCATCTGCACCCCAGCCATCTCTGTGTACGGTTTGGGGTGAATGTGGGGTGCGGGAATGCTCCACCGTGCCCAGGACACAAGGGATGAGAGCTGAGCCACTGACCACCCCACTGCAGGTCCCAGGTGCCTGAGACAGTGTCCCCTGGCAGCACCCTGGTGGCACTGAGGTGCACTGACCCCACTGGCACTGAGGGGGACCTGCACTATGCCCTTGAGGGGCCCCTCGCCTCCCGTTCCCACTTCTGCATGGAGGGGCCACAGCTGCAGGTGAGTGGGGCCATGAGCAGCATCCTGAACCTGTGAGAACCTGGCAGGACAGTGGGGACCCCCTGACACCTGCTGTCATAGCACATCCTGTGCTGGGGCTCTCTGAGGCTCACTTACCCCTCAGACATGCCTGTTGCCCCCCCTCACTCCATCCAGCTTTTCTGGCATTCCAGCTTTGGGAGACACCCCATCTCTGCATGACCCTCCTGTCCTGGCTTAACAGGTCAACACCACCCTGGACTACGACTCGGAGGCTGCATCCTTGGTGGGCTTCCAGTTCACAGTCACCATCGTGGTGACAGCAGGAGGGCAGCCCCCGCGGAGCAGTGAGTGCCCGTGTTCCTGGGAGGTCACTGGGGGGTGCAATGGGGGAGGTTGCAGGGGGGAGTTGGAAAAAGGCCCCTCCTGACGTGAAAACCAGCAGATCACAGGGGAAACATTCCTTCCCTGCTGCTCCAGAGACATCCTCCCCAGGGGTGGTGCCACTGTCCCTGTGTCTCCCAGCCTGCCTGGTAGGAGCTCGCTCACCCGGCTGTGGGCTGCATGGTGGTGCCAGCGCAGCAGAGCCACCCTGTGCCACACAGCTCACGTGCCCGTGCTCGTGACGGTGACGCCTGTCAATGAGTTCACACCAGTCTGCCCCAACGGTGCCACCTTCACTGTGCCGGAGACAGCGGCTTTCGGCAGCGCCGTGGGGTATGTGGCCGGCACCGACCGCGACTACCCGCCGAAAAGCCTGGAGGACAGCCTGGCGGGGGGCACTGGC